GGAAGGGCCCCATTCCACTACAACCCGACTTCTTCCTACTAGGCACTCCCTGCAGCACCCCAGGCTGTAGACCAGGCCTTCGACTCAGAGGCCAAACCACAACTGTAATTGGGGATGACCTGGGCAAAGTGAACACAAGCTGCTCACCACATCCTAAGTGGACAGAGAAACCTGGACAAATGACAAAGGTGCCTGCAAGTCCTTTACTCAGGGAATAACACACGGAAAGGTCCGAATGCTGGGCCCTGGCAGAGGATATCAACTCCTTCAAGGAGAGCTCCATTAGGTTTGGAATCTGATGGGGGCACTAACCTCAGGCAGTCTGGCAACCCTGGGCTGCAGTCTCAGGGTTTCACTATAATTACTGTTTCTCCCCCTGCCATAGCAGATGCTTTACCTGGGATGCCCTCTCTCCTGCCATATACCCAGATGTTGTCCAGGTCTGCTCAGACTTTGCCTCCTTTTAGGAAGCCTCTCCAGCTGCAGGTTTATTCTAGCTGCGAATGGCTGAACCATTGGGAGGATGTTTCTAAACCGGGACCAAGTCTTCAGACTATGTGTACCTAGTCCCATGGAAACACCTGGTTCAGATAGATTGCAAGCCCCTGAAGGACCCGAGAGTGAGACTTAGGGATGGATTCACTGCTGCTAAGCTCGATCCACTTCCTAATTGCCTGTTTTGTGCACACTGGGTCTATATCTCTTCTCTTTGAAAAGCCTGCAGGGAAATGGAGGAGAGAGCCAGTGAAATGGATAATTCCAGTATCAGAACGGAGGTACCCAGAGTGGGACAGGGACCAAGTCTGACTTCATGGGGCTCCCTCGTTAGGCTTTATGAGGGCTGGGACTGAGTCTGTGTGCTTTCTATTTCATTCCTTGTGTCTAGAACAGGGTGACCAATGGAACAGAACATCAGGATATGTGCAGGAAACCATGAGTGATGCATGGAGGTTGGTCTCAAGTCATGGAGGGCCTGGCCTTGCTGCTTTCCTAATGAGTCAGAAATTCGCCCTTTCAGCTGGAGTGTGACCTAGTTGTATTTGTATTTTATTTTAGTTTTTTAAATATTTATTTTTTAGTTTTAGGTGGGCACAATATCTTTATTTTATTTTTATGTGGTGCTGAGGATCGAACCCAGCACCCTGCACATGCCAGGGTAGCGCACTACCGCTTAAGTCACATCCCCAGCCTGGATTTGTATTTTATATCCACTTGATATACTGCTGGGGACCTGGAGGCCACACCAACAATGTTTGTGGAGTGAATGTTTTGGTCACCACTTACTTGCCAATGTCTTGCCATGATTCTGAGAGTACAAATGTCAACTCCATCTCGGGACCTGACCTGGCATGGCAGAGCTACCTGTGATGGAACAGAGAAGCCTGGGAGTGGCAGAGGTAGCAAGCTGCACATATCACTATAGTCCAGCCATGGAGGGAGGGCAGATTGGGTTGCAAGTGCTGGGCAGATATAAGGATGTCCTGYTTTCCCTCAGACTGTGGTCACTCTGGTAGACCAAGTTGAGGCCAGGGCTGATGAATAGTGGAGGGCAAGGTGAGAGGACAGATTTTTCCTTTTGTTTCTGTTGAGAGAGAAGCTCTAGCTGAATTTCAAGTATGTAGAGGGGAAGCCAAAGAAATTGTTCTAAGAAGGGAGGTGGCTGTTTTTGCAGAAATCACTCCTGTTCTTCAAGCAAATATTCAGAAGTCACCTTTCATGCTAAGACTTTCTATAAACCATTTAATACCTCTAGGGAGCTCCCAGGAAATATGCTGGAGTACTGTTCCCATTTTCCCTTGGAGCTGGGAAAAGGCGGACCTGGGCCAGCTGGAGGTGGGCCAAGCTGGTCTCTGCCTGGCCAGGGCTCTGGGGAGGGTGGATGCCTGGACTCTAGGGCTCTTCTGATTGACTGATACTGTGTCCTGCCCAGTGAGGACCTTTGATTTTGTGACCCTGTACCTTTAAGAGCTGCCGGTGCAGTGCAGGGACTGCTCTGAGCCATTGTCTTATAGACCCAGAGATGCTCTATGGGACCATAGCTGCTCCTCTGCTCACCATCTTAGAAAAATCCTGGTGGTTTGCCCTTTTGATATTTTCCCTTCAGTTCTAAATTGTGGGTGGGGAAAGAGGTAGCAGCTGACCTTTTCTGAAACACCTTCACCTCCCCTCTGAGAGGTCTGTGACCTCATTCTTTGAGTGGCATTTTGATGGGGACAGATTGTGTAGTGAAATGGGAAGAAATAAACCCAGGCCACATCCTCCCTTCCCGAACCTTAACTTGACAGTAAGGATGGAGCTTCTTACATCTTCCTATTACAAAGAAGACAGGTTTCCTCCCCACTTCTTTGTCTTGGAGGAGTGTGAACCTCCCAAACAAACATGTATAAGCTGGGCATGGTGGTCCACATCTGTAACCCCAGTTGCTCTGGAGACAGAAGCTGGAGGATTGCAAATTTGAGGTCAGCCTCAGAAACAGCAACTTAGTGAGACCCTGTCTCAATTAAAATAAATATAAAGGGATATAGGTCAGTGATAGAGTGCTTTACTAATATGCATGAAACCCTCTGTTCAATCCCCAGCACCCATAAAAAACCAAACAACAAATCCCCTGCTCCTCTGCTCACCATGGACCAACCAAGATACTCAGGAAGTGATAATTTAGTTGTCATGGTGACCTTTCATCCTGGTATAGTCCAGGGAGATGGAGATGGGAGAAAAGAAACAAAGGTGTCCTGTTTTTCTGGGGACATGTTCACCATTCTGGATGATAAACCTAATGGAAGGAGAGACATATAAGGGAACTCTCTGGGCCAGAGATGAGTGATGATGATGATGATGATGATGATGATGATGATGATGATGATGATATGGGGTCATCATTTATTGGGATAAACAATTTCCATGCATGATTTCATTCAGTCTGCGATCCAGTCTTACTAGATAGGAACTATTCTCATTCTCCCCATTTTACAGAGAAGAGAGGTTGAATAGTGAGTCCAAGCTCACACAGCCAGCATGTAGAAGAGGCTGAGCCTAAATCAGAGCTCAGATGTAGAAGTCATCCTGAGGCCAAGACAGCCTGTTTGCTGCTCTCTCTCTTTGCCTCCTGAGACCTAAGTGGCCCCAGGGCCCATGAGAGTAGTCTTTGCTCACTCAGTGCCTTCAACACCTGCCTGTGAGGTCGTGTGAATATTGCTCTCATTCCCTTTCTACTCAAGGACACCCTTCTCCATGAGGTGAACTGTTAGCTAAGTCCCCACTTCCAGTGAGTGATAGAGCTGGGCTTTTAGATAGTGCTTTGCATGGCCACTTGGGGGTATGGCCCTAGTAGGACCTCAGGAAGGTAGGACTGGGTCTGGGTGCTGCAGCACCACCCAGAGCAGTTGCTTGCTTTGACCCTTGAGACATCTGCTATGAGTGTAGCCAGCAGCCTGCACTGGTAGGAGCTGCCTCTAAGGCCCACAGGGAACCAGCCATTCCCAGCTGGGCCTTGGATCTCTGCTGGGTGTGAGGCTGTATCTGCAACATTCTGTCCTGCTTKCCTGGTTCAGATGGTAGACTGTGCAGGCCAGGAGGCAGACAGGGTCCCAGCACAGGGCTGTTGTGGGAAGGACATTGATTTCTCTAGGAACATAGAACATTCCTAGTATAAACAAGGTGGATCCTGAGGATGGTGAGCAGGCCAGATCAAATTTCTATTCCTCTGGGCTTTTMATGGTATCACAAAAGAGGGGGCCCACAAACAGATTCTTGGCTTTTGGCTCTTGATTCATGTAAGCTTGCTGTGACACTTCTTTGTACAGTTTGGGCAGATTGGATTTCCCTCTTTTTCAAACTGGTAATATCTTCCCTCCTTTTTTTATTTTTTTTAACCATTCCCTTTATGAACCCTGATTGGTCCCAGTTTACCCTTCAGAGTTCAGCCCTTTCATGTAGATGCTCTTGTACTTTTTCCTATTTAGCTGGAGATTGTAAGTCCTTTTACTAATGCTGGCTTGCAGTAGGAGATTATACATATATATGAAAGAAATTATGTATGAATAAAATTGTGGGGATCATTTATATTGTCCATATTGTATAGTGTCAAATCTAAGACAACATTGGTTCTAATGCACCTCATTGTTCCATGTATCATTGAGAAAGAAAAAGCATTTGAAGCATGATATCCATTGTAAGATGCATCTCAACTTCAGAAACTGGGGAAAAGGTGGCCATTTAGAATCATTAAACCAGACTGTAGAGATGTTTTAATGTGGGAGTGTTAATACCAATGAATGCACAGAAGAAACAAATGTTGAACCCCAAACTACCTTGCACTATTAGGTTGAAGGTATCCACAAAGGATATGGCATGGCATGTCTGGGACATTTTATAGAATCCTATCATTTTGTGGCTGTTGGGAACTGGTCCTGTCTGGTCCCAGCAATCAGCCAGGGAATGTCTAAGAAAACATATTCCTGAATTCCATCCCTGAACTACTGACTTCAAATCTCTGTCTGAGGGATGAGGCCCAGAAATCCCTACTGTATAATTCCTTGGGCCACCCAATCATTTATAGTAAAGAAGGTTAAGGTCAGGGAAGGGGAAGGGTAGCCAGGTCAGTGCAGAGCAGATGCTGACCAGCATTATTGCCCTCTGAAGGCTATGTGGTCCACTTCCAGGCTCAGTGCTTTCCCTCTATCTCCTCTATCCCTTCAAATAGGACATGACCTGTTACAGCAATTCAAGTACCTTAGACTCCATTTCAAGGTTCAGTCTAGGCTATACGGTTTCCTTCATATAGCATGTGTCCAATGTCTCTCCTTTGATGGATGGACTGACTGACTTCCACCTGTCCATAAGCACCTGCTGGGTGCCAGGCACTCTCCCAGGTCCTGAGGGGGTGTCCTTGGTTTGCCCAGTGGGGCTGAGTCTCCTTGGTGCCTCCCTCAGAGACAGTGAGTGCAGGGCAGTGGCCAGGGCCACTTTTGTGCCGTGCTGAGGTGCTTCTTTCCCTGAAGGTCCTGTGGGAACAGTGCCAGCTACTGAAGAGTGCCTCCGTGTTTGCCCGCTGCCACCCTCTGGTGGACCCCGAGCCGTTCGTGGCCCTGTGTGAGAAGACTTTGTGCACATGTACTCGGGGAACGGAGTGCCCATGCCCTGCCTTCCTGGAGTATGCCCGGACCTGTGCCCAGGAGGGCATGGTGCTGTACGGCTGGACTGACCACAGTGCATGCCGTGAGTTGCCACCCCTCACCTCCCCCCTGGATGGGCATGTGCTGTGTCTGTCCTGGGGTAGTGGCCCTCAGGAAGCTTTGTGTCATGATGTGTCCCTGCCCCCCAGCACACTCAGCCAGTGCCCCCAAAGCCACAGGTGGCTGAACCCATATTCTGAATGGCTCCTGCTGTCTGCCACCTGGTCTTGTGAGTGCTGGCCCAAAGGGGAGTCCCCTCCCTCACAGGCTGAACTGAGGCTGGACAGGGCCCCCCAGGTCTGGTGTCTTGTCAGCTCTGTTCCACGCCATGCCTCCCTCCGCACCCCTTGACTCCCCTCAGGAAATCCATCCCCTGGACTCATAAAATATTCTGCACTTCAGACCCAAACCCCAGCAGTTGCAGTTTCAGGGTTTATCTGCATATCTGCCTGTCTGAACTGAGGAGGAGCAGGGAGTTGGCCAAGCTGTCCATCTCTGAGAGCCCGGAGTGTTCTACTGAAGTACTTCCCTTGTGTGAACTCAGCCTCTCTGCCTCTGGGCACAATGTGCGCCATTTCTTCTACCCCYACCGATGACAACTGTGTTTGTCCTAATCTCATCAGGTCCCCACTGGTCACCATCCCCAAATTATTATGATTAACTGGGGGCTTCTCTGGCCACCTTACAAGAAGGCCCCCTCTACTCAGACTGACCAAATTTTGTGCAGATTGACAACTGGTCTGTGATAATGACACAGAGGATCTAACCAGCATTCCTCTGCACACGTGTGTTACAGTGTGTGGCATATGGCTTTGAAATTAGTGTTTCGTCTTTGCTGTGGGGTGTGAGAAGGTGGAGACTAGCCCTTGGCTTCTTCTCTGGATGGTGGAGTGGGCTATTTTCTTAGGTYTTTGAAAGTTGGGTGGGGATGATACCTGGGGGATCTTGGAGAAGGGGCTTGGGGCAATTCTTTGTAGAAGAGCCAGTTTGTCCATAAGGAACTGAATTCAGGGGGAAGGACAGAGACATACTTAGGTGATAGGCTTCCATAGGCAGCCTTCCAGCAAGGGAAATAAATATAGAACGAGTCACCATGCAGGCCAAGTGGATGGGAATGGCGTGTGCCCTGTGCGTGTCTGTGTGTGTGTCTGTGTGTGTGTGTGTCTGTGTGTGTGTCTGTGTGTGTGTAGATTTGAATGGGGCCAATTTCATGGGGAAGAGGGTCTTTTGGAGGAAGACGTGATGGGGGACACCATTAGCTCCCTGCTGGTTCCCAGAGGCCACTCCTTTTTAGCCCAGAGAAGTTTGTGTCACCCTGAGAATGCTTTAGGTAAAGGGGACCCAGCATAGAGGAGCAAAAGAATGCCAAGTTGTTTCTCAAGGATGGATGACCAAGGGGAAGGGATTGTGGTCCCAGGTGCCCCCAGTGAGTCTTAGCTGGGGTCTCCCAGGGTGGGAGAGGTGACCTCAGAGGGACACATGGACCGGTAGGGCCAAGATGATCCCTGGAGCCCTGACGACAGAGCAAGCTGTCAGGGGTTTGAAGGAGGCTGGGCTGGGGGCATGGCTTGGAGATGCGGCACTGCTGGAGAGCTGCTCTGGGGAGACTCCTTTGATTCTCTTTTCAGGCCCAGCATGCCCTGCTGGCATGGAGTATAAGGACTGTGTGTCCCCTTGCCCCAGAACCTGCCAGAGCCTGCACATCAATGAAGTGTGTCAGGAGAAATGTGTGGATGGCTGCAGCTGCCCTGGTAATAAACTTCCCACTTTATTTACAAATCCAGGACCTTGCCAGTGCCCTGGGCTTTGGAAAGGGAGATGAAGGCCACTTGTGTTTGTTCCTCATGGCTGAAATCAGAGGCCTTTTATGTAGTCTTTCAAAGTCTCTGTAGAGAGTGATCAGGATTGAGCTGGGCTTTATTTTTAATTTATGTTTTCCTGTGGTACTATATCCATGAAGGCACTGTGTCTAGGGAAACGGGAGGATGGCCTGGGCCCCAACAGTGACTTTGTTTGGGGAGCTCGTGCCCCATCTGAACTATAGTTTTGTTTTCTCTGTTTGGGGCCGGGGAAACCYGTCTGGGAGAAAGGTTTGTAAACTGTTTGCTGGGTTTGCCGTGTGAGCTCAGCTGAAAAAGGGCTTTGCTCTAGAAAGTCTGTCCAGGGGACAATTGTGAGCTTTGGTCACAAGCCCTGTTGAATTACAGAAAGGGAGTCCTGTGTGTTTCAACTCATGACTTCTGCACTGGAAGACCTTGAACAAAACCCTTGGCTCCATTTCTCCATCTGGGCAGGGTGATGAATAACGTTCCCCTCTGTCACCCCTCATCACACAAGTCCTTGGAGCTTTCTTGAAAAAGCCCTAAGTCTAGATTCCTGACGTCCCTTCTGGTGGACCTTGAGCAAACCYTTTTCTCCCATTCCTTCATCTGTACAATGGAGATGAATAATCTCTCTCCCTCACATTGCATCCATATGAGGGATGAACATCAGGTTCTTTGAGTTTCCTGGGAGAAGCCCGAAGCTGGTGATCACTCCTGGGGATTCTATAGTTGTGAGATGAGTTCTAATGATGAAATGTTGAGACCTCTACCTTGATGCCCTTGAACCCAGAGGGACAGCTCCTTGATGAAGGCCGCTGTGTGGAGAGCGCCCAGTGTTCCTGTGTGCATTCCGGGAAGCGGTACCCTCCAGGCGCCTCCCTCACTCGAGACTGCAACACCTGGTAACTGTGCAGCACCATGTGGTCTGGAGAGCTGCCCAGGGGCTTTGGGAGAGGAAGCTGGGGGAGGAGGGTCAGTGGCGGGGAGACCAGGAGCTGGCCTGGGCTGGCATGGAGAGTGATGGTGGGGTTGGGAACAGCTGTGGCAGGCAGTGCTAGGATGCAGGATTATAGTACCTCCATGCGCAGATGGTGGGGAGGTCACAGGAAAGGGTCCTTTACACACAGTCACCATCTCCCCCTCCATCCTCCCTCCCAGAAGATGGGCTACACAGCAACCCCCAGGCAGAAGGCAGCTCCTTCTCTCCTTGAAATCTTTGATCTTCCGAGTGGTAGGAGGCAGCAGAGTCAAGTGGAGACTCACGTAGGTCTGCCATGGCTTCTGCTGCCTGCCAGGCCCAATTGGGGTGCCTCTCTCTGCTTAGCTCAAGTCCTCTCCTTAAGAACAACTCTGGTCCTCGCTGGGCACACACAGCAGGAATTGGACTCCTCGTACCTGAGCAGATTTTCAGGGACATTAGATACCCTAGGTTTTCTTTCTTCTTCTTTTTTTTTTTTTTCTGTCAGGGTTTCTTCCCTTGTCAACATCTCCAAGGTTCCTCTGTGACCAAAGCTCCATCCTCTACAACTTTCCCAAAGACTCCTCTAGCGCTGCTCCCTTCTCCCAGAGCTTCTCGGGAGGGCTGTGATATCTGTGGGGAGCTCAAATTGACCTTCCTTGGCTGACCTACCAATGACCTGTGTTTTTTTCCCCTGACAGCATTTGCCGAAAGAGCCTGTGGATCTGCAGCAATGAAGAATGCCCAGGTAGGTGACCTGCTTGCTGCTCATTCCCTCCCTTCTCTTGACGGAGAGGTGTGTCCTCTCTGACAGGAAGGGCCACCTCAAGGTGTGGAGAAGTTGACTCTTCAGCATAAAATGGCGACAGCCCCCCCCCCCCCCATCACAGCTCAGGTTTCAGATACCAGCTGTGCTGAGTGTGGGAGAGGAGGGGAGCTCTTCTCCAGCTGAAAAGGGAGGCCACACCCYGGCTAAGGTGCTTCATTCTTTCCTGTCACCTGTTTACTCAAAGGATTAAGACCTGTGAAGTCTTGACTGCCGAGTTCTTTGGAAAACTCAGAGGAAGAAGGTGCTGATAACCCTTTAGGCTTGAAGTGAGAGTCTTACTGGAATTTTCTGGAATGCTTGATATGCAAACCATAGCCTGGTGCAGGAGCTGGGAGAACCAGGTGACCTAATGATTCCTCCAAACCTGTCCCTGCCCCGGAAAATCTGCTTAGGAAAAATTGTTTGATAATCTCTGCCTTTTGCATTCTCCTCTGTTTGGCATCTGCTCTGTTCTGTTTACTGCAAACTTTGTCCATTCAAAGCTCCCGACCTGCCTTACTCCAGTGACCCTAGGTCTCCCCCCTTGAACTTATTCACATGATGTTTTTGAGGTGCTGGACAGCGTACTAAGCACTTTCCAGGTATTACTTTATTGTTACCTGTGGGATTGGTACAGTTTGTTCTTATCTTGCAAAAAGGAGGTTAAGTAACTTGCCCAAAGTTACATAGCTACCCAGAGGCAGAGTCAGGACTCAGACTCACAACTGCCTGGATTTTACCTTTGCCCTTCCCTTTTCTCTTCTTCCTGATCCTAGATTTTGGACCAGGATGATCTTGGATACCAGGGATCATATTTGAGGTCTTTGGATTTTTGAGGTCTTTAAAATCACTCAGTTCCTTCTTTAGTGCCCTTTACACTGGGAAAATTCTGGAACTAGATGGGAGGTGGGCACTAGGGTTAGGTCCACTAGTCTAGCTAGGTTAACCAGGTTATCTTTTGTGTAATCCTTGAAGAAAGCAGTAAGTACAAGAGATTGCTGTTGATACCTATGCTCCATTTAACATAATAGTACCCCATGAAAGACCCAAGGAACCTTTGACAGACATATAAAGTTGCTGCAACCAACCCGTGAAAAACTTCTAATGTCTACATAATACACATTCATTATATAAGATCTGTGAGCCACAGTTGGTGGAATTGGCAATTCAGCTTGCCATGTTTTTTTTTTTTTTTTTTTCCAGGTGGAATACGAATTTACAAAGTCTTAGGACTAGGTTACTTCAGGGAGGCCTTCTATCTATCCATCCATTCTCCAATCGCCCACTCTGTGCATGATGGTCTGGTCTGGGTAGACAATACAATGCTCTGATAGTCAATTCAAAATCTAGAGAATAGCTTTGCTGAGGATGCAAGACATTCTCTTGATGCCTGGATGTGCAGGTAGCCCCATCCAGCTCTGGTCTACTGAGTGGTTTGTTATTTTGCCAACAAAGCCACTGAGCTCTTTTCTCATTCTCATTTCCCCACTCTGACCCTCCTTCTCTGGTTCTGAAGTTTAGTTGGTTGTTGCCTCCCAGTCCTTTTCTGCCCAGGTCCCCAGGCTTGTATGGATGCCTTCCCATGATTCTGCTGGCAGTGGGGCTGTCTTATGCTCCCCAGGTGAAGATTGCAGGAAGAGTTTCTCATAAGAAAAGTGGACTGGGAGGTTCTGGAAGGGCATATGCTCAGCTCTCCTAGTAAAGCAAAGAACATGCCAAGGCTTCTCTGCAGAACTTGGAGGARTCAATATTGTAAATCTTAGAAATAGAGAACTGGGTTTTGATTCTCTGAAATAAGATGAGAGTATGTTGGCTATCAATTGCTGTGCAACTTTTCCTCACAGTTTCTGAATACCAGGAATCCAAGTCTGACTCTGGTTCTCTCTGACCCATGATCTCTCATGAAATTGCAGCCAAACAGCTATCGACTGGGGCTGTGGTCTTATCTGAAGGCTTGGCAGGGGAGTGAGGGGGATTGCTTTGAAGCTTATTTATGTGCATTTGTTTTATTCTGCTATAATAGAATACCACAGACTGTGTAATTTACAAGAAACAGAACTTTATTTGGTTCATGGTTTTGGAGGCCGGAAGTCTAAAAACATAGTGTTGGCATCTGTTATAGGTCCTTGTGGTGCTTCATTCTRTGTGGAAGGCAGAAGGGCCGAGAGGGTGTGAGTGAGAGAACACCAGGGGCCCAACTTGCTTTTATAACAACCCACTGCGGATACATAATCCACTCCTATTGTAGTGACATTAGTTCATTCATGAGGGCACAGCCCCCCTGGCCTAGTCATCTCTCACAGGTCTCACCTCCCCACACTGTTGCATTGAGGACTAAGTAGCCAACATGTGAACTTTGGGAAACATGCAAAACACAGCARTGGGCTTGCAGCCTCACCGTGTGGCCCTCTCCCTGTGACTGCCTCACAACATGACAGCTGGCTTCCCCTGGGGAGAGTGACTTCAGAGAGAGSGGGTGGGGAGAAACCAGAACAGGCACCATGGTCTTTAAAAAACAAAATTTTGAACTGGCATCTATCACATCTGCTGTATTATATTCACTAGAAATAAGTCAACATGTCCAGTCTACATATAGGCGGAGAGAAGTCGTGCACCATGAAGAACTCCTTTTGAGGCTGCCAAGCACAGGGAGCGTGGGCATGGGTAGTGAGAGGGAGAAGAAGGTCTCAGGAGGGCAGAAGTCTGTGCTGGGGCAGGGCGGGGGCTTCCTGTGACTCATTCTCTTGATGCCTAGATGTGCAGGTAGCCCCATCCAGCTCTGGTCTACTGAGTTCCTTCAAGCCAGGCAGACTTGTACCGTTCCCTGCATTCCTCTGCTGTGGGTGAGAGGTCGAGCCAACCACAGGTAAAGCTATGGTGCATGAGTCAGCCTGGCATTACAGATGACTAAATACGGGACCCAGTAACTTGTGAAGTAGAGAGGTTTATTTTGGCTCATGATTCTGGAAGTTCAAGTCCAAGATTGGGGTAGCTCCATTTATTTGGGCCTCTGGTGATGACAGTCTCTCATAGCTGTTACCTCTGGATCCAGGAAGTRGAGGGAGAGAGACTGAGAGGATGGGGTTCTGCTATCCCCTTCAAGACCACGCTCCCAGTGATATAATTTCCTCTCACTAGAGCCCACCTTCTTAGGTTCCAMCAACTCCCCAAAATGCCACTCTGGGGATCAAACATTTAACACATGGGCCTTTGAGGGACACTTAACATACAAACCGTAGCATGTGGTTTCCCCAAGTCTGCAGGCTTTCCTTTCTGTAACCCTGAGAACTATAAAAGTTTGGTTGCAGATAATGGAGGCAGAGCATGCCTGTAAACAGGGACTGTTCCTCAAATGAATCAAGCCCTTGTTATAGAATCTCAAGCTCCTACTAGAAGAGTGTGGAAGGTACTTTTCTAGAGGAAGGAGGGGGCCAGTAGAGGGCTTTTCATTTGTATCCAAAGTCCCGTGACCGTGTAAAAGTGGCCTGGAATGGGAGCTGAGAGCACAGACTTGGGATGTAGGTGGTTTGGTTGGAATTCCAGTTCTACCACTTACTAGCTGGGTGATTTTTGGTCAGCTACTTAATGATTCACAGCCTCAGTTTCCCTGTCTGTCAAGTGGGGATGATAAGAGCAACTTTACCCCATGGCCGTTGTGAGGCTAGTATTACTTGACATCCAACAAGTACCCCATCAATGCTAATGAGCTGTTAGCATTTTCCCAGAGCACAGAGGCAGCAGTTTCTTTAAGCAGGGGTGAGAAGGGCAGAGACATAGATGAAGGTACAAAGAAGGTGCCATAGGAGGGTGGGGGTGAGGTGGGAGTGTAGCTGGGCAGGTGGTACAGGAGGCTAGAGAGACCTCTTTGGGGAGGGGAGGGATTAGCATACTCTATTACTTGGGTTCAAGGTAATTTGATGGATTCTATCCCAGCCCTGAAGTTCAATCTTGGAATTCAAGGTCAGTCTGTTCCTAAGTTTCTAAGAAGGAAAATAAGCCCCTCATTCCTGGACAACAGAAACAGCCACGAATAAACTAGGGTGGATGAGCTCCCTTAGGAGGGTATATTCCTGGGTGCCTGGGCTCCTCTGGGGATTCGGAGTCTCTGAGATCCTAGAAAGCTTCCAGGGTCTCTCCCAGCCCTTGTTGGGGGTCTCTGGAGTTACACCAGAGTTCCTTCAAGCCAGGTAGTGCATCTTTTTTCATAGCTAAGGTTTTCTTCCATATAACCTCCATGTTGCCCCTATGCTTTTTGACAAATTTCCACACATGCCCAGAATCAGAATGACATCAGGCTTGGCCTAAAGAAATCAAGTGTGCAGAAAGTACAGGAGCCAGTGCACCAAGCACTGTTGAGTGGTGTCAAGTGCTTAGGGCTCTGGATCCAGGTAGACCTCCCGTGTTAGCTAGCTTTCCATCACTGTGACGAAACACCTGAGACAAACAACTTAAAAGAGGAAAGATTTATTTTGGCTCATAGTTTTTGAAGTTTCATTCTATGGGTGGCTGGTTCTGTATCGTGGTGGAAGCATGTGGTGGAGGAAAGCTGCTCAGCTGGTGACACCCAGGAAGTGGGGAGGGGTCAGGAACGAGATATAGTCCAGGGATGAGATAYAGTCCTCAAGGGCATGCCCGAAGTGACCTGCTTCCTCCAGCTGGGTCTTAYCTCCTTGAATTATAAACTCTTCAATGGGATAACCCACCCATGTGGTTAGCACCTTCATGATCTAACCATTTCCCAAAGCCTCACCTCTGAACACCGCTGCGATGGGAACCAAGTCTTCAATATGTGATCATTTGGGGAATATTCCAGATACAAACTATTACACAGTCCATGTTCAAATTGCTCTTTGACTACTTTGCAACCTTGGATTAATTTAACTTCTGTGTTCTTTAGTTTCCTTATTTGTGAACTGGAGGTAATAATGACCACCTCAAAGGAGCAACCAACAGATGGTTCCCGCAGAGCACTTAGAGATGCATTTTCACATTTGGTGGAGATGTTATGGTGTTTTTCGGGCAGGCTTCTGTGAACTCTGATGTCTGGAGGAAGTCTGAGTTGATTTGCTAAAGGCTTGTGGCTGACATTTCTGCAGGGAAGGCTGCAGGCAGCGAGCAAAAGCCACCCCAGCAGAGCAGCCTGTGCAGGGCTTGCTAGCTGCAGATAAAGGGTTTGTCTGAAAGAGGTGATGTTCTTCCATCAGAAAAGAGGTTCTCCCCACTCCTTTTTTTAAATGAGAGAGGATCTTTATTCACGTGGGAGTAGATCTGCATTAACTTCAGGATGCTCTACTTTGTATGCTATTTATTTATTTATTTATTTRTTTTTATTTGTTCTAATTAGTTATACATGACAGAAGAATGCACTTTGATACATCATGCATAGATGGGAGTATAATTTCTCATTCTTCTGGTTGTACATGAGGTAGAATCCCACTGGTCATATAGTTATTTATATTATATATACATAGGATAATAATGTCCAATTCATTCTACCATCCTTCCTACACCCATACCCTCTCCCCTCCCTTCAGTCCCCTCTACCGAATCCAAAGTAACTCTATCTGCTCCCACGCCCCCACTTATTGTGACTTAGCATCCACATATCAGAGAAAACATTTGGCTTTTGGTTTTTTGTGATTGGCTTATTTTGTTTAGCACGCTATTCTCCAGCTCCATCCATTTACCAGCAAATGACATAATTTCATTTTCCTTATGGCTGAGTAATATTCCATGTTTTCTTTATCCATTCATCTGTTGAAAGGCACCTAGGTTGGTTCCATAGTTTAGCTGCTATAAACATTGATGTGGCTACATCACTATAATATGCTGATTTTAAGTCCTTTGGGTACTTACTGAGGAGTGGGATAGCTGGGTCAAATGGTGGTTCCATTCAAAGTTTTCTGATGAATCTTCATACCACTTTCCATAGTGGTTGCACCAATTTGTAGTCCCACCAGCAACATATGAGTGTACCTTCTTCCCCACATCCTCGCCAACATTTATTGTTGCTTGTGTTCTTGTAAATTGCCATGCTGACTAAGGTGAGATGAAATCTTAGAGTAGTTTTGAGAGTAGTTTTGAGAGTAGTTTTGATTTGTATTTCTCTAAAAATCATGTGCCTTCATTCATTCACCAAACTTGTAGTGCCCACCTTTCTGTCTAATGATGGTTGGCTGATTGTCCAGGGCTGCTTTTTGCTGCCTGCTTGCTAATATCCTAGGTGTTCTCTTCCAGGCAGAAGAGGGGTGGGCCTGGCCATTTGGCCCATTRTTTGGGCAGATGTCCCACCTCCTGTGGCCAACTGCTACCCAGCAACTCACCCATCCGTTTCCCTGGGTTTCCTGTGTTTGCAGTCCTGTTCCTCAATTGTACCAAGGAGATAAGCTGAATATGCTATGTAGACTTCTCTAACAGAAACAAATCAGTGGGGTCAGATCAGGAAATCAGATGGAGGATTAGATTTTAGCCCTGAAAGTTTTGCTCTTGAATATTTGCACATTTTCTCACTGACCCTTCTTTTCCTTTGCATTGTCAAAGATAATGGAAGTCCAGTTTCTTACTCAGATAAGAGTGCTCTAGAGAAAACAGAGAAAGGCTGGGGAAAGAGTTCCCACCCATTTCATGGCAGCAGGGTCAAGACATTTGACATAAATGATTATGTGGCTCTGTTTGTCCAGCAATGGTGTTTTCTGAAAACCAGTCGTTTAAAAAGGTTTTCCTGTGACATTGCTGGATTTGAAATTCCAGGACATTTACAATGAGCTGKGGTGACCTCTGACCCTATCTTGTGGCCTGTTCTCTGATTTCCATGAACAGTCACCTCTCATACTTGCCCTTCTGTGAGGGCAGTGAGTAGGGAGGTGATATTAGGTGAACCATCTGGGACCTCCTTATTTTCTTCTCTGTCATTTGGCCTGGTGTGCCCTCCTGTCCATGCCATCCTGGAAGGAGTCAGTGGCCCTGAGGATTAGACCTAGGGATACTTACCAGTAACCTGGGGCTTCTCACCTGCCCTCTGCCTTCAGTACATACTCAAGGCAGAACCACAATTGATCCAAAACCGTGAAGTCTAGCCTGTCCCTTGACTATGCCTATCAGTGAAAATATGGGCACATGGTAGCAGGCAGTGGGTTCCTCTGGTACTTGACTTTATTTATTTTTTAAAAAATGATTTTAGAATAAAAAATAGGAGTTTTATGGAGTACTTTAAATTGTTACTCCATGCTTTTCTTCTTGTTGGAAGTTTTTAATCAACCATTCATAATTTGACCCAAGAAAGAGATATTTTGTAAATGTGTCACAGACACATGGAACAGCACCCTACTTTTTGTAGAGGACTTAAATCTGAATAATTATGAGTTTTTCAGTAAATCTCCGCATAGTTTTCTGGTAATTTTACAAAAATAAGCCCATCCCTTTCAGCTTAGCTATGATTTCACTTATCTTGTTGCCTGGAATGAGCATCGTGGTTTGGCACAACCTCAGAAGACCCCCTGCCWCCCAGGCAAGTGTCGCTCTTCAAGTGTCACCCTCTTCTTGCACTGAGAAGCTGAGCCTCAGGATTGCCTTCTCATAGAAAAATTCTTCCTCTGCATTTATGAACATTAATTCATCTTTCTGGTGGCTCTGTCTCTGTTTTGGAATTGTTTTTTCCTGCTTCCACAAATGTCTTGCAAGTCAGCAGGTAGAAGGGGCACTTGCCACACGGCTGGTTAGTTTTGCATGACTCTCCTCGTCTTTCTGAAGCGGCTGGAGTATGGGAGAGCAGTCTGTGGAGAGAGGTGGATGAAGCTTTCACTTAGTAGGAAGCCCCAAGGCTGGGTGGTGTCAATTTTAAAAGCTGTTTCACCATGATCTATTCACRGTTCTTCTCACAGAAGCTTAAAATCAACTCTTTAATTTGTTCAGCACACTGGACATCCTTTCTTYCAGTTAAATTTAAAAGGCTTATGAAACCAAAAAATCTCATCTTCATCCGCATCGTCATTTCTGTGTCTGAAACATTCTTAATCACATTCCCACTGCGGTTCTGGCCAATTAAGAGGTCTGTTAGTTCTGCACTGTTCATAGGAGGCTTTGGGTAAAGCCTTTGGAAAAGCCGCAGTGATTTCTTCATTTCATCCCCATCGTTATCTGAGATGGAACGAGCTTCAGATTCAATGTTTACTTCCTTGCCAGTGGTCTGGTCACTTTCATTCTCTTCTTTGTCACTGTCCCCATCATCTTCGTCCTCATCCTGGGTTTCATCTTCCTCTCCTTGTGGTGCTGGAGGCTATGGGGCCCACTCCCACTGCCCACCCTTTCTGGTACTCATCTTTGATAGGTGAGCAGCTGGAGTCTCCCTGTGCCCTTTGGGAACCTCCTGGCTGTGTGACAGAGCCCCATGTCAGCCCTGAGAGATGGGACCATGTGGGGTTGGCTATAGGTCCCTCTTAGGGGGAACTTCAGTGTTAGGCTTGGCAAAGGCAGTGGAGAACCCAGTGCCGATCAGGGGTGGTGGGTGGGAAGGAAGCCCCCCTTTCTTTTCTGTAGAGTAGATGGCAAAGTTGAGGGAAGATGGAGAGATGCACAGAGAGAGGTTGGCATTAACCTAGATGCCCGATTTAGCTTTGATTTATCTGTTGTGGGTCCTGAAGATGGGGTTGCTCCAAGCCAGGGCAGAGACTTTGGCAGACATGCTTGAATATCCTCCAGGATGTGTGGGGCCTGAGCTGTGGCCCCCAGGGAGTTGGAGAGGCAGTTGGTTGGGGGGGGGCATCGAGGGCCCTGAGTTCTCAGATGATGAAGGGGAGTTCTAGTCCCCCCCACTACAGATGTGTCAGCCTGGGCTCCGGAGCTGGCCTTGCCGAGGTCAGCCCTGGCAGGGCAGTGGTGAGATCATGAGCAGATGGTCTTTTGCCCCCCCCCCCATTGGCCCCAATGGAAGTCACAGCGCATGGCCGTGCCTCTGAGGTGGCCTCAGAACCGCCCAGAGCTGCTCCTCTGCTGAGGCGCAGATGAGAGCTGGCGACTGCTAAGCCCTGAGACAGCTCCACCTCCGTCCTCTCCCTGCCTCCCGACCTTCAGGACTCTCCTGGGTGGGGCTGTGTCTCTGAGCCCTTCCACATGCCAGTGCACAGAGCAGTTGGACAGCCTCCTGTGGCCAGGCACCGTGCGGGCTTCCAGGCTGCCTTCTGCAGTGCTGTGACACTGACCTGGGAGATGCTCTGAACCTGGGGCAGCAAGCCCAGAAAGAAATAGAGGCGGCAAGAGCTGAGAGTCAGGAGCGCTGGCTTCTGGCCCTGACTCGGCCGCTGACTGTGCACAGCTTTGTCACCTCCCTTAGTTTCTTCATCTGTAAAAGGAGAAATTGAACGGAATGACCCAGCTTTGACATCCTACCATTAGGGAGTGGGGACTGACTTAGAGCCTCTGCTAGAACCTGGCTTTAGACGGGCGTGGGGCAAGGACTCCTCTGGAGTTGTGGGGAGCYGGGCACCCTGTTTGTATATGTGTGCCACCTTTGCCACCCTGGGGGCTTCCCTAACTCCTGCTTTTCCCTTTTTTTGTGTCCCTCCAGGGGAGTGTCTTGTCACAGGCCAATCTCACTTCAAGAGCTTTGACAACAGGTACTTCACCTTCAGTGGGATCTGCCAGTACCTGCTGGCCCAGGACTGCCAGGATCACTCCTTCTCCATTGTCATAGAGACTGTGCAGGTGAGTTTGGCTGTGCTGACCTGCCAGGAGGCAGTGAGGTGGCTGCAGAGCTACCGGGGTGTGGGGCGGCTGTTCCAGACTCAGTTGGCTTCATTCACGGAAACCCAGCTATACCTTGCTCTCTCACTGTTGGGAGAAGGCACCTGCCCTGCCAGCACCTACTCAGGGCCAGCTCAGTCCACGCCCAGGAGAAGCATCCCCTTAGGTCTGCTCTGTGGCCCCTATGGCTGGATCTCTGCTGTTGGGTGCTGAGGACTGAGTGGGGCGGGGGCAAGGAGGGCCCATCACCTTTTCTGAGCTCCAAGGTTTACACGCAGACTCTTTTGTAGGGAACAGCAGAGGGGAAGAGAGGTAGAGCTATTGAATTCCCCTGAGGACAGAGTCCCTGATTTTCTTGTATCAATAGGCCCAGGGACAAGAAGATGAGCCAGAGGCCTATATTTCTTTGTATAAGACCAGGCCAGGATATTAAGGGGTGTGTGTAGGGGGCTGGGATTAGGGCCTTCTTGCATGCTTCTGGGGGCCTCATTCATATACAATATTTTGTGAAGATGGAGGTGCCCAGGCTCTCTGAAGTTGAGGTGTTTCTCTGGTTAAATTGGCCCTGGGCTAATGCTAGACTAGCAGGGGTTGCAGTGAAGTCACCCCGAATCCCCTCTCAACAGTGTGCTGATGACCCTGATGCTGTTTGCACCCGCTCAGCCACTGTGAGGCTGCCCACCCTGCACAACAGTCTCGTGAAGCTGAAGCATGGAGGAGGAGTCTCCATGAATGGCCAGGATGTCCAGGTCCCCCTCCTTCAAGGTGGGCTCACTCCTCTACCAAGCCCCAGGCTGGCACAGCTTCTCCCCTAGCACCCCTCCTCCTCCACATTCCTTCCTTCCTGGTGAGGGTCCMTCTGTCTCTTCTCTGGGAATGTGATGGGGAGTTATCTTTGGAGGACGGGGTGGATATTCTTGGCAGGCATCCTTGCAAGAAAGGAAGGCTTCCTGGAGGAGGGGGACCCAAAGAGAAAGCTGGCTGAACACCTGGTAAGGGAGGAGATGATCTAGGCCTGGGAGAGAGTACAGAGAGGTAAAGATGCCAAGAGGATTTTTGCCTTGACTTGAGCCAAAGGAACCGGTTGAGGCAGGGTGATTCTGGTTGTACTTTGGGGTGAGAAAGGAGTGGAATGACCACACTCCAAGAGGTTGGGGATGGCTGCTGAAGGGGTCAGACCAAAGATGCCAGGTGGGGGCAAAACCATGTGACCCTCTGCCCTGGGAAAAGCCTTGCTGGTCAGTGTCTCCACCTAGTTTGCACAGTGCCAGTCAAAGCAAAATTGTTTTCATTCAGCCTAACACCCAAACTTCACCCACAAAGCTGCTCTCAGACCCTTTGTCCTCCATGACTCCTGGCCACGCTGTGGCCCACAATCCTAGCATTGCACRCAGTGGATGAACTTGGGCTAGTGAGTACACTGGTGTCTGTGTGTGCTCAGCTGTGTGTGTCTCTCCATGAGATGATATATGTTCCCCTGAGGCAAGGTATAAGCTCCTGACTTGTCTCTACCTTCTCCTAGCAGTGATCACTGCTGTGTTCAGCTTTGCACACAGCATCACTCAGCCAGAGGGACTGAGTAATCCAGTTTGGAAGCCATATGCACAGGCAGAGAGGCCCAGGCATGCCCAGYGTGGGAGTTCAGTGGCAGATGTCCACTGGAAAAGAACCCGCCTAGAGTTAAGAATGCAGGAGCCTCTTCTGCCCTCTTGTGGCATTGAGGGAAATTACAGGGAATTGCAGGGTGTACAGGAGGTCCTTGGGGGATCTTTGGGGATCCTAATTGCCTCTGTGTACCCTTCCTCTGAGACCCCCTTAAGCCTCATGGACATCCCATCTGCTTTAACTCTTCTCTGGTCATTGCTATGGTCTTTATGAGACATCCCATCTCTCCCAGCTTGCCTGCCTGCCACCCCACCACACTATCCCTCCCCACCTCAGCCTAAACACTGTCTTGCCGGGTTCCAGGTGACCTCCGCATCCAGCACACTGTGATGACCTCTGTGCGCCTCAGCTATGGGGAGGACCTGCAGGTGGAGTGGGATGGCCGTGGGAAGCTGCTGGTGAAGGTAGGTGCCCTCTGGAGCCATGCCTCCCGGGAGCCTGATCCTAACAAAGTGCCCCTTGTGCTCTGGGCAGAATGGCTTTGTGTGGTGGGAGAAGAATTCCTTTCTCCTCAGCCCTACACCCCCAGAGTGAGGAACAGGCCTCTCTTGTCTATGAGAAGCTGGTGTTTGTTTTCTGGACGCCCCCTATTGGCCTGACAGGTTCTCTCTTCTGGGGATCAGATGTCCCTGCGCTGGGCTATCTGGGCCCTGGTGGGGCTGGTGAGGTGGTGGATTTGCTGACCAATCTCCTGGCTGCAATGAGGCCTGGGAGGAGGGGGTGTCTTCCTGAGTGCCCAGTGTAGCAGCAAGGGAAGAGCTGGGTTGGAACGCAGCCAGGTCCCCATGTCCTGTACCCCTGGGGGGAGAAAGCTGCCCCCAACCCCATCTGTGCAAGGCTACATAGGGGCCTGCCAGATTCCTCACTGAGTCACTGGGCCTCTGAGTCTGTGGGCACATCCTCTTATTCTTAGGGGTCCTGGAATCACGTGGATGGTTATCCAGACTCTATGGAGTTTTGGGATGTGTTGTTTCTCTTGAAAAGCCCCCGGCAGTGGGCAGCACTGGTATTACCACTGCTGATTTATTAGGGGGACAAATGAGGTACAGAGAAGTTGAGAGCCTGCCTCTAGTCCACACCACTCCATAGAAGAGCAAGGGCTTGCTCTCTGCCCAGTGTCTTCCCATTAGACCACTAGTTCTTGCTTTATGGTCTCAGAATGTTATTTCACTCTTAAAAATTATTTAAGGACCCCAAGATCTTCAGTGAGGGTTATATCTATTGGTCAGATTAGAAATTAGAGGCATTTAGAACGTGTATTTATTAACATGTTTACAAATATAATACTGAAACTACCACACATTAATATAAATACCCTTTTTTTTGGGGGGGGAGATAACTGTTTCCCAGTACAAAGCTAAGTAGTGAGAAGAATACCATTGTCATACATTTCTGTAAATCTCTTTAATGAATGGTTTAATAGAAGACAGCTGGATTCTCATATCTACTTCTGCAATCCATCTTTTGTGATAAAGTGTGTCATGTAGCCTTTGGAAAATTCCACTGTGCACTTAGAATGAAAAGGGAAAAGGCGATAATGATGTCATGTTTTCATGAAAGTAGTTTTAGGCTTGCAGATCCCTTAAGCCTCATGGGTCTCAAGACCACCCCTTTGAGAACTGTCACAYTAGGATTCTGGGGAGACTCCTCCTGTATCCTTGGGTCCCTGCTCCCCAGGATCCTTGGTATAATTCTGTGATGGACGTTGGAGGTGAGATCCTGTTTTCTCCTTTTTCAGGTGATCAGTTCTTTCTCTTGTCCTAGATCCCTTGAGAGAGTTTCATACTTAGCTCTTTTTTGTTTTCTTTTTCTTTATAAAAAGTCACCTTGCAACCACAGACCACAGATCAGGAAGGATGGGCGATCCTCTAGTCAGACACCCACTTCCAACTGGAAATAAAGATTCATTATTTCCGGAGCCAGAGGAACTTGCCCCAGTCTCTAGGTCATTTGGTTACAGAGCTCAGTGTCCTACAGAGCTTGGTCTCCGGGTCACTGTGGAGTCACTCCTCCTGCACCCGGGCTTCAAGGGGATGTTCCACATGAGCCGGTCCACTTTCCCAGCCCCCTCCCACGTGTCACAGTGGGTGCTCTTCACCCACGCAGTTTCTTCCCTCCATCAGCTGGTCCAGGACTTCTTGTCATGGGTGTCTGCCCACTTCCTCCTCAGCTTCCTCTGTTCTTGGTTTTTCCTCTGCGGAGAGAGAGCTAGATCCTTTCCACAGGAATGGGGTCTTTGGGGGTGTTGTTTTAGCTTATAAGTTTAGCTTATAAGAAGAGGATTTGGTGAAGGTTCAGGACAGGRTCAGATGACCCCAAGGCCTCTGGACTGTCCTGTGGGTTTGGTATGATGCAGGAAAGGGGGTGTTTGTGAAGGGCAGGAGGTGGGAGCACAGGGCTAGCTCCTCAGGGACTTCTAGGTGGAGGAGCTAGGTGGAGGCAGGCCTCCTGGGGAGAAGGGCCCTCTGATCCTCTGTTGAGACAGCAAGGCCCTGGCTACAGGGTCCAGTCCAGCTCCAGCAGAGTGCTGTGGAAAAGGTGTCTGACAGTCTTCACTTGGTCAGAACTGCCACCAGCACAAGTCTGTTTCAAACAGCAAGTGTCTTCTCAGAAGTGTCCTAGCCTGGACACTGTAGGCCTCTTAGCCAGGCACGGCCGGCCGTCCCTGGATGCATCCATGGTTCTAATTGCGGGCCATGCTGACCTCTGAGACAAGCCAAAGTCAGAATGGGGGGCAGAATAGTTTTCAAGAGTTGCGGGGCAATAGTGACGGTGGCCAGCGGAAGTGAGCAAAGGGGATTTTGGGGAGCATGAGCTATGTGTCTAAGAAGCAGGAGGAAAGATGCTGAGAGGAGGGGAAGGGGACTCCCAGTTCATCACCATTTTGCTGCTCAGTTCCGGCCAGCCCTGACTGTTGGTATTGTTTTTCAGCAGGCGCTGGGAGAAGAACYCATCTGTGCACTGAGTTATACATTAGTTCACCAATTCAATCATTCAAGAAATATTTATTGAGCGTCCACCAGCTGAATGTTTGTGTTCCCTTCCAGTTCATATGCTGAAATTCTAACACCCATGGCTGTGGGAGGGCTCTAAGTTGCCAAGCAAAGCTCTCATGAATGGAATTAATGCCTTGAGAGAGTCCCCAGAGACCAGCTTCTACCATGTGAGGCTGCAGTAGAAGCCATCTCTGAACCAGGAAGAGGGGGCCCTGAACAGACACCGAATCTGCTGGTGCCTTGATCTTGGACTTCTCAGGATCCAAACTATCAGAAATAAGTGTGTTGTTTTAAGCCATCTGGTTTACAATTTGGTTTCAGCAGCCTGCACGGACTTAGACAGACAGCATTCTGGATGCTGAGCGTACAGTGGGGAAACGGAGCAGGCACAGACCCTGGCCTCTTTTAGTTTACATTCTCCTGGGGGAAGCAGACAATAAACAAAGCAAACAAGTAAATTAAATCATACATTAGAATAAATCCTGGGGAGATAAATAAAGCAGAGGAGGGGGAGCAGGAAGTGCCAGGGTTGGGGGATTTACATTTTAAGTGGAGACATCAGGAAAGGCCTTGGTGCCCTAATGTGACACTAGATATTTTTAAAGCAAACAAGGAGGGCATCCCTCTGTTCCCTTTCTTATTAAGGATATTTACTTGGGCATATTTTATGAGGGTATAATCTTTCACTGGATTGTTCATCTTGTACCTTGTTAAGTCAGGGCTAGCAGCCRGAAGGGCCTCCAAGAGATGACCACGGGGGGTCCTGGTCTAGCTCATGAGGCTTCAGAACCCAGGGAGGTCACAGGCCTTGTTAGTTATGGGGAGAGCTGGAGTCAGGACTCTGGGGTCCAACCCCTGCTCTATCTTCACATCAGGGTCCAGGTGTCCCCACCTGTCCTGGGCAAAAGGCAGGTTCCATTTCCTTAATTGTCCCTTGATGTGCCCTTTGGGTTCAGAGCTTGGTTCAGCTGTAATTGGACAATGAGTGATGTGCCGATGGTTGGGCGTTGGAGTCCTGGTCCCCTCCTGGTCACCACAGAGCACACTGCCCCAGTGTCCTTGTTGGACCTCACTTTCCCCAATGGCCATCCTGACAGGCCCCTTTGGCAGTGATGCTCAGTGATGCCACCGAGAAAGGTGTTGCTACTGGCCATACAGTGTCAGCTGCAGAGGACTTAGACCACACCTGACTCAGCCTGCTTGGCCCACGGGTGACCAATGAAAGTGTTCAGTGGACAGGTGTTGAGTTTGTACCTGACCTYAGGGGAACTGGGGCCACTGGCCTAGGCCATCTGGCAGGCGTGGACACAGAACACCTGGGGCTGGGCTCAACCTACTGACTCATCTCAGCTCTGCCACTCTTCCTGTCACCCTGGGCAAGTCCCTTTCCCTCCCTGGGCCTCAGTTTCTCCATCTTTAAGTGACTAGATAATCTTTAGAATCCCTTTTGGCTTGGTCCTTCTCTGACTAATGATTGAAGGGCCAGGGTGGAAGTGGTAAATGTGTACTGCTGGTTGTTTTATTTATTGGTTTCTCCTACAGCCTAAGGCTTAGTTACCATTCCTATTTATTTTTCATCTGGGGAAGATCAAAACCATCTTACAAGTGAAACAAAGCRGTTGCTCGGTAGGCGGCTGCTGCTTCAAGGTAGTCTGGCCTCTCCCCACAGCTGTCCCCACTTTATGCCGGGAAGACCTGTGGCTTGTGTGGGAATTACAATGGCAACAAGGGTGACGACTTCCTCACCCCCGCGGGCCTGGTGGAGCCCCTGGTGGTGGACTTCGGGAACGCCTGGAAGCTGCACGGGGACTGTCAGGACCTGCAGAAGCAGCACAGCGATCCCTGTAGCCTCAACCCGCGCCTGAGTACGTGAGCTGCAGCGCCCCAGCCCTCTGGCATTCCSGTGCATTAAAGGGGACAGCGCACCCGCTGTGGGGGTGGGGGGTGGGGAGCGGCAGTGCATGGAGCTAGGGGTTAGGGGCACCTTTATTTTTACTATCAGCATTTGATTATCTGCAACTGGCTCATTTATTCTTCAAAGCTTCTTTATTGAATGCCCTCCTTGARCCAAAGCCTGAGAAAGAAAAGAATAGTGCATTTCCTGTCCCTGGATGTTCTGGTCTACAGGAGCGGCAGCCACATGAAATTAGACTTGAATTATTGTAAGATAAATGGACTAGGGTGGCCACGTGCAGATTTGTCTGCAGCGGCAGTTCAGTCCTATAATAACATCCCCGTCTGACCCCAGCCATCGCTGACCACTTTCTTCTGTCAGTGGGTGTGTGTTCCAGAGCTGCGGTTTAATATGTATTTGAGCCCAATGTAATTAGGAAAGTAAATTGGCTGCAGAAGAAAAATTGCAATAAATTCCCAGAGCCAAGAGTTGTTTTTGCAGAATCTGCTGCTGACAGAGAAGTGGGTGTGGGAGATTCAGGGTTGGAGTCGTTCTTCTTTGGGGGATGGGGTCCCTGTGGTTGGGACTCTGAGGGGAGTGGGACAGGGCTCTGTTCAACTTGGGCTCGATCCTCTCTCTTCCCTACAGCCAGGTTCGCAGAGGAGGCCTGCTCTCTCCTGACGTCCTCCACGTTCGAGGCCTGCCACCACACAGTCAGCCCTCTGCCCTATCTGCAGAACTGCCGATATGACGTCTGCTCCTGCTCCGACGGCAGGGATTGTCTGTGCAATGCTGTGGCCAACTACGCTGCGGCCTGTGCCCGGAGGGGCGTGCACATCGCATGGCGCAAGTCCAACTTCTGTGGTGGGTCCCTACCCTACCGTCTGCCTGCTGCACCCCTCCAGGCACACAACCCAAACTCTACACCTGTGATCTTGGTCCAATTGGTCTTTTCAAAGCACTTTCTCTGCATCATTTCACTTGGAAATAGGCCCAGCAGCAATTTGACAACCCTGGGCTGTGCAGATAGTTCTTTTCACTTCCACCTCCTGGCAGGATGTAGTGGTGGAGGGGCTAGCTCTTCCACACGGTGGGCTTATTCCAGCAGGGCAAGTTGGCGCTCCTACCTGGAGCCTTCCAAGCAGAGATCGCCTGTGTCTGCTGCCACCTAGTGTTCATTACCGGTACGATCGGGTTGTGGAGTGAATAGGTCCTAGGTCCCAGTGGGTCCCCGCATTCCTGGAATCTGATGAAGGCGATACCCGCTCACATAAATCCTTTGCTTATAACTTCTGGAAGCCATTGATGGACTCCTGGCAAAAATCTCTGGCACCGTATAAAATTACACAAAGCTGAATAGCATCATTGTCCTGCTGACTTTTACATCTCCTTCTGCACTGGTAGATTCCTGGCGCCAAAGTTGGTCTCTGCTCCACGCTAGTGGGCGTCTAGAGTGGGAACACTTTTTTATTGTCGTTATTGCTCTGGGGACATTTGCTAAGTGCCCAGTGTGGTCAGGCCATAGCAATGATGAGGAACTTGAACCTTCTTTTTTGAGTTCTCCCTAGGAGGTGCCTATCACATTGAATAAAGGGCAGAACAGATAAAGGGTAGAGAAAACCAACGAAGGCTTTCAGGAGGAGGTGTACTTTACCATGGTTTTACAAAGGTGCTCTCTTGGAAGAGAAGATTTGGTAGAATAGTAGTACTAAGGTGTGAAAGTGAGGCAGACTTTCTATAAGCATAAGGTAGAGTGGATATTCTGATTTTTAGGGAGAAGATGTGTTTGGAGTCTAAAATGAAGGATGTCCTGACAGAAGCAAGAAAACAGGAGCTGTGAGCAGGGATAAAGGGATTAATATCATGTATTTGAATAGATGTTTAGGTGGGGGTTCTCTAGATGTGTCAATATTTGGGGTCCACCGAGCCAACTCATGTTTCAAGTATAAGGAATCTCCTAAAAAAGAGGGATGAACAACAACAACAAAATCTACAAATGCATGCAGTGGAGCCTGCCCTGTCCCTCCAACCCTGGGATGTCACAGGGAATCTTAGGTTGGCAGCGGCAAGAGTGCAGCTGAAGCCTTCCTGGCTGCTTGCCTGTGACTTACCAGCTACATGACCTTGACTCTTTGCTAGAGCCTCTGAACTCCAGTTTCCTGATTAGAAATTTAGAAACTGGGGAAAGTAATGAGCCAAGGAGTATGCCTTGGGCCCACCAATATTAGAAATTATGCACCACCAGTTAGCTGCAGCCTCCCATGGCGTTCTGTTGTAAGATATTCGCCCAGAATGCCAAGGGCCATTGGAAGCATTTTAAAAATCTCTCGCTGTTCTTCATCTCCACTGAAGAGAATAGGGGAAATGGGCTGGCACAGCCATGGCAGGGACTCAGGCTTGGGTACAGAATTTCCTGACTCTTGAGGTTTTATGATACTGGAGAAAGTGCTGGGGGGTGAGGAGGTAACTCTCTCTGGAGACATTCAAGGACTAGAGGTCTCTGTCTTGATGGGTGTATGTCACAAATGACCTTGGGTTGTTCCTCTGACCCCAAGGGTGATGGGCTCAACTCCTGGTTCTTGACTCCATCCTTTCCTGACCTAATGTCCCCTGGACCCACGTCTCATTTTCCCTTCCTGGGAAATGAACAGAGCTCCCCAAACCACTGAGTCTCTCCATAGAAAGGAAGATGTCACACCAGTTGGGTACATTTATGGAGCAGGCACTTAAACATGTAGCTACTCCATGCTGTAAAGAGATTCAGGAGCAACACAGTCTCCCCCTTGTAAAATGGTCATGTTTCCTTTGGGAAGACAGGCTCCTTGAAGGTAAGGACCAAGGCTTACCATCTTTGCATCCCTGAGCCTCCACATTGCCCCAGCATACAGTAGGTGCACAATACATGTCTTCTAAGCTGAAATATGCATTGCTTATTCTGGGGAAGAAGACTAAAGAAGAAATTAAATAAGGCTTGAAGCCAGGCTAGAGATGGTCTGTCAGAAAAGGAGAGTTCCCAGCTTCAGCTTTACTTTGATGGACGAAGAGTAGACTTACCCTTGTCACTGCAGACTCAGTGGGTTGAAAGGGATCGCTGTTCTGTCGGCCAGCACATCCCATCTTCCCCTCTCCTCCCTCTGCACATTCATCCAATGGCACAAACTCCACTCTGTCAGAGAAAAGTCAAGGTCTCAGTGATTAGAGGGCCCCCACCCTTCCCAGCTACCTTCAAACACCAAGTCAAAGGTGGTGGCAGGAGGGAGGCTGCAGGGTCTCTCCAGAGGTTTGTGGCCAGTGGTGACTTCTACAGCTTCTGCGAGATGTTCCRCTTGTGGGCTTCTGCTGAAGAAATGAGAGGCAAGGATTCTAACAGTCCTAGGAAGATTGTGTCCCCAGAATGGGGCTTTCATGGCTTGTACAGCAGCTAGGAGCACAGGGAAGGCATTTTGGAAGGGTAAAAGGCACCCCACATCTCCCATGTCTGTCTTACCCTCCCAGCAAAGAATTGCATCCTCAGAGCATTCGTTAGACGACCAGGACACACTGACCACAATGCAGGAGTGCCCGGCCTTTGGCTTGGATCTTTCTCTGGAATATTCCTCCCATCCCAAGCCTGATGAGCGGGACCTGTGTTTCCCAAAAGCAATGTTATTAATAATAATAACACTGAACTTACTGTATGCCAACCATGCCTCTAAAGGTGTTGGTTTATTTAACTTTCACAAAGACCCAGGCAGATATTGTTATATTCCAGTGAGGATAATGCTCAAGGTCATGTAGCTAACTAGTGGTGGAACTGGGGCTTGAACATGGGTATTTGGGGGTGCAGAGCCCATGCTTCGACTGCTTCAGCACTCTGTCCTACTTCTTCCTGGTTTTTGTCTCTTGTATCATTTCTGTATTTGGCCGAGGGGGTAGGGGGCTGTGGGAAGGTGGGGGATGCCCACTTTTCTGGAGTAGGTATAAGAGTGTCTCTGTTCTTTACGACTTACATGTTCCTCAGAKGAACTGTTTCCTTTTTAGAGTGGAGTGATTCAGAGCATGACCTTCAGGGCTGTAGAGAGCTCAAATCTTGCTTCTGCTTCTTCCTGGGAGGCATGWTGTCAGCAGTCCCTTAGCTCAAATCTTAGTTTTCTCACTTCCAGAAAGGAGGTGATAAGAGCTAACTCACTGAGTTAGCTGAAACCTCTGGGAAGAGCAGGGCACACAGTAGGTGCTCAACAAATGGTCGTCATCCATGTCATCACCCTCATGGTGATGCTCATGCCTGCTACTCCCAGTTCTTTTAAATATTCAAATCCACTGGAATTTCTACCACGTCCTGGGCTTGGAGATCTCAGATGTGACTCAAACAATGCTGCCTCGGGTTAAGATGGGGAGAAACGTGTGCATTCATAACTCTAATACCCATTTGTGAGCCTGGAGGTATGCTTTGTTCATCGTGGGAAAGGAAGGTGGTGATGATGCAGRTATCATCGGGGGTCCTGGCTGCAAGGGGTGGTACCCATGTCCTGGTCATCCTTCCTTCCTCTCCCTTCCCTTCCAGCGCTGCACTGCCCCAAGGGCCAGGTGTTCCTGCAGTGTGGGACACCCTGCAACCTGACCTGCCGCTCCCTCTCTTACCCGGATGAAGAATGTGATGAGGTCTGTCTGGAGGGCTGCTTCTGCCCCCCAGGGCTCTACCAGGATGAAAGAGGGGACTGTGTGCCCAAGGCACAGTGCCCCTGTTACTATGATGGTGAGATCTTCCAGCCTGCGGACATCTTCTCAGACCACCACACCATGTGGTAAGTGCAGGCAGCTGGGCTAGGGGATGGTGCTGTGCAGCGCCAGACAGGAAAATGGACCTCCAAGTCTTGTATTTTGTGGCTGAGTAAACTGAAGCCCAGGAAGGAAGTGACTCGTCCAGACTCACACAGCAAGTCAGAGGCAGAGCTGGGATTTTACCCAGGTCTTCTGATTTTCTTATTATGCAGAAAACTAGAAACTCAGGCTACATCAGTAAGCATTTTTGAACTTTATGGCCAACTATAACATGTCCCATTTCCATGCTCTAGGCCTCTGTTTCCCTCTTCTGAAACAGGAAATGGGAGATTTCCCTTTCTCTCTCCTTTAGCCTCCTTTCAGTGTTCTCAGGCTGAATGAAGCATTTGATGCAGAAGAAAATCTGCCATAGCAATATTGCCTCATGGTGCATCACTGTCTTAATCCATTTTACGTTGCTATAACAAAATACTCAAGACTGGGTACTTTATAAGAAAAAGAGATCCAGAGTTGTGCAGCTGCCTTTGGTGAAGATCCCATACTACATTATAACATGGCAGATTTATCACGTGGCTGGAGAGTGTGTGAGTGGTGAGCAGAGGGCGCAGAAGACAGCAAACATGGAGTGGCTTAATTTTTTTTTTTAGATGTTAATGGGCCTTTATTTTGTTCATCTATTTATATGTGGTGCCGAGAATCAAACCCAGTGCCTTACCCATGCTAGGCAAGCACTCTATCACTGAGCCACAACCCCAGTTCCCGTGTGGCTTGATTTTTAACCAGCCATTCTCTTGATAACTAATCCAGTCCCTCTTGATATAACTAACTCCTGCAAGATGGGCATTAATCCCTTTGAGAGTGGTGCCTCCATGCAGTTCTTCCCAACCTCTAGATTTTATTTCTTATTGTTCCCACCAGCCCTCAACACTGTGACGCTGGAGACAAAGCTTCCAGCATAAGCATTTTTTTTTTTTTGCGGGGGGGGGGGAGAGCTAGGGGGAAACTACATCCAAGCCATACCATAGCTAACCTGGTTGAAATCATGCACGTCCTCCTGAGAATAGGGGGTCATCATGCTTGCTTCTCGCAGTTCTTTGCCCAGCCTGCCCTGACAGTCAGATCTCATCAAGGCTGATGAGATCACAGAACATTTATAGGGCAAACATTTACCTGTTACCTGCTTTGTCCCAGGTTCTGGCTAAGAATTGGTGATCTAAACATGAGCCAGACTCAGTGTGGTCTCCAAAGAAGCTGACCATCTACTAGGGAAGACCAGTTAAAGTGCCCCGATTATGGAAAATTTCAGAAAGACACAAAAGCAGAAGCTTTTATAAGAAGCTTTAACATATGCATCCTTAGTTTCAATGATTATCTTATTTATTGCCTCCTCTCCCTTACGGCTGGAATAGTTTAAATAAAACCTCAGATATCATATCATTTTATTTGTAAGTAATTTAATATGTATTTCTAACAGAAAAACACTTATTATAAAGATAACCATAGTACTATTACTAATCCAAACATTAACAATAGTTTCTTAACAACATCTAATAATCAGTCCATATTCACTTTCTCCTAATTATCTCAAACTTTGTATAACTGGTTCTTTCAAATCTAGATTCAAAGCCTGCACATTGCATTGCATATGAATCTTTTTCTCATCACTTCAGTGATATTAATTTGCAGACCTTGCCAGCTTCATGTACCCAAAGCATATTATTTATATTTCAATTGAAACAGTGATTAGTATTGAACTAATTTCCTGTATTTCAGGAAAATGTATTGGGCCTCACCCCTGGACCATGACTGCGCTAAGAGTAGAGGCCATACCTTCAGCTCTAACCTCCCAGTACCTAACACAATTCTGTTTTCCTCCAGGAACTTAAAAAATGCCCCACTGGGCGGCAGAGCTTGCTTTTTTTTTTTTTTTTTTAGAGAGAGAGAGAGAGAGAGAGAGAGAATTTTTTAATATTTATTTTTTAGTTCTCGGCAGACACAACATCTTCTGTTGGTATATGGTGCTGAGGATCGAACCCAGGTTGCACGCATGCCAGGCGAGTGCGCTACCGCTTGAGCCACATCCCCAGCCCCAGAGCTTGCTTTTTTAGTAAAGAATTTGAGGCTTAGAGAGCATATCACTTTCCCAAATCATCCAGCAAGTGATTAGAACCCAAGGACTCTTGAATTCTTCATATTACACTGAGAACAGACTGTTGAATTTTGGTGACCAGCAGGTCAGGGTGGCCCCCTGCTACAGTACCGTGGTGAGGAAAGAAGTCAATCTACAGAAACTGGGGTGACTTGGAGGCAGCCGCCGTCATCAGTTATTTTCCCATAGCAGGGAAGGTGGGAGGTGGCATGCAGCGGCCCCCGGTGAACATGGCTGGGAAATAGCCCTGGCTTCGGTCTCTCTTCAGGGTTTGACATCAGTGACATCCCATGACTGTGTCCTCTTCCTGTTCCAGAGCTCAATGCTATTGATGGTTCTCTTTCTCCACTTCATGTAGAAAATTGGGTTTCATGGAGAATGTGTGCCCAAAGGAACTCAGGGCTTGTGATTTTTATTGCCTATTTATTTTTATTCATTAAGCATCAAACTAGAGGGTGACAGCAGGAGGAAATGCAGGCGATGCCCGTGGACAGGTGGAAGGAAGGTGCACACCCATTTGCCCGGGGCTTCTTCACATCCTTCCATTGGTCACTCTGACGGGCAGCCCAGCAGGGCTTCCTCTGCTGCAGGCCAGGCTCCCGCCAGGAGTGGACGGAAATTCTAGTGTTTTACAGCCCAGTGGAGCAGCGACAGTTAACAATGATTTATTGTTTTTTTTTCAAAATAGTTGGTAGAAAGAAGTTTGCCTCAACACCAAGCACTGATAGAACTTTAAGGTGGTGGGTCCGTCAATTATCCTGATTGCATATTGTGTATGTGTGAAAAAATATCACATCATACCCCATGAATGTACAATCACCTGTTAATTAAAAATAAAAACACCCAGGCATGGTGGTGCACACCTATAATCTCAGAGGCTCAGGAGGCTGAGGCAGGAGGATTGTTAAGTTCAAAGCCAACCTCAGCAACTTAGAGAGGCCCTAAGGACTTAGTGAGACCCTGTCTCAAAAAAAAAAAAAAAAAAAAAAAAGGGCTCGGGATGTAGCTCAGTGGCGAAGTGCCCTTGGGTTCAATCCCTGGTCCCAAAAAACAAACAAATAAAAAACTCCCCCAAATGAAACAAAACAAAACCACAAAAACACATTGGGTACTTTATGTAAAGCCTTGTGCTGGATTCTAGTGATATAATGGTGAGAAGACCAGTTATAGCTTTGACCCTCATGGATTTTATAGTCTAGTGGGAGACAGATGTTAACCAGATTTAAAAAAAAAAAAGCCCAGATACTTATAAAGTTACCAGTGTGGTGTTCTGGGAAGAGAAATACCTGATCTATGAGAATGGGAGATGAGTTTGGGGCAAAGAAGGTGGTACGTGAGTGTGAGTGTTGGGCAGAAGTGACATCAGCTCAGAGGAAACTGTGCAAAAACCCTGTGCGTAAAGGGTTCGAGCTTCACAGAAGGCCAGCCGGCCCGAGCGGGAGAGGAAGGCAGGGGTCACATCACACAGGGATTTGGTCTTTATCCAAAGGCCTGTGGAGGGGAAGCTGTGGATGGAGTCAAGYAGTGATGTGACATGATCAGATTAAGGTTTTGAAAGGATTCTTGGCTGTGAAGAGGGGTGTTTTGGAGAGGCAAGAACAGGCACAGGGATGTTGGCTAGGAGACCTCTGTGTCGTGCAGGCAGGAGGCGATGGCACCTGGTCTTGTGGTAGTGGGGATAAGAGAAGTGGCTACGAATCTCAGCCACTCTCGTGTTTTATAGCCCAGTGGAGTGGCTACAGTTAAGAATGTGAGGGCTTGGTGATGGGAGAGGGAGAGGGCAGTGTCAGGATGGGCCTGGGCTTTCTGGCTGTGAGATCGGATCGGATGGCTAGTGGCAATGGTCAACGGATCAGGCTGGCCTTGAGACACCAGAGAAAGCCATCCTGCAGGCATGTGCAGATATGGGTCCAGGTTTCAAAGGAGAGGTTCAAGAGGCTGCTGGAAAGTTGCGAGTCATCTCTGGAATTGGGGCTGGGGCAGGGATGGCACTACAGGGTGGGAAGCAGAGAGGGTGCAGGATGGAGCCTGGGGAATGCTGACATTCAAAGACCAGGCCAAGGCACATTGAGCCACAGTCCAGGTTAAGAAGGAGCAACTGGGGACATAGGAGGAACTAGGGGAGATTTTTAAAAAAATTCTCTAAAACCACAGTGTCAGTTGTTTTACTTACTTATTTAACAATAAATAAAGTTGAAGGGGATCAGAAAAAGAACTGAAAATCATTCCATGGGATATGATGACGTGGAAGTCATGGGTGACCTTAGTCAGGCAGGCTTTACAGAGTGATGGGGCTGGGAGACCAGCTGTAAGGGGCAGAGAGCGAGGGACAGATAGAAAATGGGACAGCAAGTGCTGAGGACTCTTGCAAAGTCGGGTTGTGTCTTCCCCTCTGCAGCTACTGTGAGGACGGCTTCATGCACTGCACCACCAGTGGAGCCCCGGGAAGCCTGTGGCCAGACACTGTCCTCAGCAATCCCCTGTCCCATCGCAGTGAGTACTGTACCCCCACAACGCTATTAGCTTCTCCTCTGCCCTGACTCTTGAAGCATGGAGTCTAGAGAGAGCTGGGTGCACTGTCTGATTTGTGTGTGTGTGTGTGTGTGTGTGTGTGTGTATTCAGGCACACGTCTGGCTTTGTTCAGCTTTGCTACAATTTCTGGGTTTGTGTGAGTGACTTTCAGGCCTACGCCTGTCTTTCTGCATGTGTAAATCCAAATTACCAAGTCAAGAACTATTTTATTCTGTGGAAGGGAAAGGCCAAATATCTGCAAGATGGATTTGTGTGACCTCCGTTTTTGCCTGCGTTGACCTTAGCCCCAGGGAACAGTGGGGTGGGTCCGTTGCTTTGATTGTGATGGCAGTCACCCTTCTTTGATGGCCTCTTGCTTCCTATGGACATGCTGAGCAGGTCCCCTCTTTGAAAACTTCTCAAATGGATTTGAAAGAGTGGGGTTTGTCTGGCACACCTCCAGGGTGGACGAGGGAAAGGGTTCCCCTCCAGAGGGATGGGCTGGCTGAGAAATAAAAGCAAATAGTACTATAAAATAACCATAGGACACAGAAATATAGTTTCAGAGCTTGGGCAGCGACAGGCCAAGCTGGCCAGAAGGGTGCAGCTTCTAATAAAGATGGAACCCCGGGCATGCTTTATTTATAGCGTTACAGATCAAAGGGGATTGGTAGGTAGAAGGTTTCAGGGTACTTGCTTCTTCACGGAAAAACAGGATATAGTGGGGGTGGGCAGGCTGTTTGGCCTTTCGTGGGTCAGGCCCATCTCTGATTTGTGTGTGTGTGTGTGTGTGTGTGTGTGTATTCACATCTCTGGTGTTATGTGGGACCTTTTGGCAGAGCTGGGTGGGAGTTCACATGTATTGGGCCATCTCACCAGCCGGAGTGCTGCTGTGAGTTCCCAGATCCCTGATCTTCCCACTCAGTGGCTTCAATGCCAATCTGGTCCACACACATTTCATGGGTGGCTTCCCATAGGTTTGGGACAGTGCTCTCAGCTTGAAGGTCCTGATGGTTGCGTCCTGTTTAAGGACAAGACACAGAGTGGGCTGACCGTGTGCTGGTGGGACCATTCACGTTTCTGGATCACAGGAACTCTCCTTGCTTCCAGAAGGCTCATTCTTTCTTAGAAAGGAGTCTCCCAGTGCAAGGGACATAAATGGGCCATTTCAACCCCTAGCTTGACCACTTCTGTCTCTGCCTCTCCCTTTCCATGAGACTCTTTCCCCCCAGGTAACTACGGTATCTGTGCCACATCCTTGGCTGTCCAGCTTTCCCTTGGTGAGGCATGTGGCTCCCTGTGTGATTGACTGTGGGAGCCTCTCTCTCAGCCCAGATTTGGTGCAAGATAACAAATATGGGGATGGCTCACAGGTTGAAATCAGAATGTGTGACGAGTCCTTCTGCCTATCTCTTCCCCTCCCTCTGGCAGTGCTCCCCAGGTTCCCAACCTTCCCTGCATCTTGCCTCTTAGACCTGCCCTTAAGGTTCCTCTTGCTCAGAGTCTTCTGGTCTAGACCCTGGAAGGCATTGCATCTTTTTCAGTCAGAAAACTCCAAGAATTTTGTGCAAAGTGGCACTTAACTGTTCAGAGTTTCAGCTTATTTTCATGTAAAAATAAGGCCGGGAATTCTGCCTTTCTTGCATACAGGAGAGCTCTAAGTGCTATTAAGTACCCCAAGGTTTTTTTTTTTTTTTAAGAAAGGCATTGTATCATACAGCTACTCTTATTATTATCCAATCAGCCATGGATATCTATGATTTGCCAGGAAATGATCTTTCAATGAACAAAGTAGATAAAAGATTTCTGCCTTCAGGAAGCACTCTTCTTATGGGGCTGAGTGGAGTGGAGTAGTGTGGACAATCAACAAATAAGAGAGATATGTAGTTGATCAGATGGTGAGAAAAACATGATCAGATGGAGGAAAACAAAGCAGGGTGGGAGATTGGAGTGCCCGGGGCTAGAGTGCTGCAAAGGACAATGAGGTGGCCCAGCAAATGTATGAAATATGAGATGTCAAGAGCTTTGTAATGTTTTGAACAACTAATAATAATAAAAATAATAAATAAAATTAAAAAAAGAGGATGGCATTTGAGCAATCAGCTTTTGGAAGTCTTTGTGGTTGAATGGCCTCTTCCTTCACAAGTTGTGACCATCTTAGGAATAGTTTTGTGGGTCCCACTAAGGCTCCAATTTAACTTCTAAACCCAAGTCTTTGAAAGCCTGGGTCTGGAAACTGCTGCAATACGTGCTGATTCAATGCAACCTGCTACAGTGGGATCGGCGGGGTGAGGGGGGGTGGGGGGGTGGGGGGGTGGATAAGAAGTGGGGGCCGGGCCATCGGATAAATGCTGGGGTCATAAGAGTTGTCACCAGTATAGGCCAAAGCTCTAAAGCTCTAATGAGTAGGTGAGGTGTCACTTTGGTCCCATGTGGGGACCTGGCTCAGGGTTCAGCCCCACTGAGCAGCATCTTATCCCAGGGACTAGGCAGCTTTGAATCTCTCAAATGAGTGACAACACCTAGGGCATCAAAGGACAGTGCTGAAGGTGGATCTGTTCACTCCTTCACTAATACCTCTGATTTCTCTACCTTTAAGGCAAAAGGAGCCTATCCTGTCGGCCACCCATGGTCAAGTTGGTGTGTCCCGCTGACAATCCGCGAGCTGAGGGGCTGGAGTGTGCTAAGACGTGCCAGAACTATGACCTGGAGTGCATGAGCATGGGCTGCGTCTCTGGCTGCCTCTGCCCCCCTGGCATGGTGAGCTTCCCCATGGGTGGGCGCTTTCCCTTCCGTTTTCCTGCAGGTGGGAATGAGTGATGGGGCTGTGGAGTCAGAGAGAGGAAGAACAACAGCCAGACAAGGATGGCCATGGGAGTAGTGGTGATGGGTGGGGGTGGTAGGCAGAGTCCTTGGTGGCCCATTCAGCTGCCAAATCAGGGAGGGAGTTGGGAGGAAAATGTCTGGGTTGATCCTGATGGGATCTGACAAAAATATAAGATCTTGGCTCACAGGGGCACCCTAGGAAGCAAAGAAAGCATTTCCAGAAAATACAAGTAAAAACAGGCATTTCTACTAGAATTCTTCCAAGGGCTGCATTCCATGGTATGAAGATGGAAGGACACACATATTTGCATGTGATTAGCATATATGCGTATGACTTTCTATTTTAAAAGAAGACATTGAGGTCCCTGCTATGCCACTAGCAAATTATGGGTCTTCCCCACATTGAGGCTTGTTTTCCTCGTCTGTCAAGTGAGTTGTGATGTCTTGGCCAGCTCTGTACGTTCATGATTCTGGGGCTGTGGCTGCAAATGTGTCTGGAGGCCGTGCATGATCCAAGCCCATGCTGGTCTGCAGTACCTGGCTCCTGTGTGCATCTGTGGGAACTGGTGCTGCTGGCAATGGTGATAGCATGTCTAAGCCTACTCATCTGCTTTCCAAATCTGATCTTAGGTCAGTTCTGTATTAAATATATGATACATATATTATTTTTGTTACCCTAAAGAATGCTACTTCAGGATCTTTTTCAAATGCATTCCATCTTCTTTCCTTCCCCTGAATCCAATCTCCCACACCCAGAGTGGTGAGGAGTTGGGATGGGGAATCTAGAATCCAGAATGCAGGAGAGGATGACTGTAATGGGGCGTTGGGGGTGAAAGAATCAATGATGCCCACGACTCAGCTTAAGGGGCAGTGTCCTGCACCATGAAGATGGCCAGTGTTCTCTAGAGGGAACTTGGACTTGTGGCCAGTGGCCCTCAGGAGGGTTGGTGTCTGAAGCATGTGCAGGGCAGATGCTCTTTTCTACTTCTTCAACCATTTCTTCTTCCAGAGAGGCCAGCTCCTATTTCTTCTTTCCTGGGTGTTCTTCTGTCTTAGCCTTAGAAGGTTCTGGAATGTTTTTTTTTTTTCTGATAGAGGAGCTAGAGGTTGGCTAGTGAAAAGTGTAGTTCAGTACCTTAGGAAAAGATGGATATCCATGAATGGTCTGTAAGGAGAAGGGCACTCAGACGCAGGCAGGGGTGAGAAATAGGAGTGGGCAGAGGCAGCTTCCATGTTGCTCTTTATCCTTGGGTTCTTATTTTGAGTCTCAGAATTTTGAGGGGACAGAGATCATTGTTCTGCTGACATTGAAGAAGGCTCTGGCAAGAAAAAAGGGGCTTCTCCACAGGTGTGTGTGTGTGTGTGTGTGTGGTGTGTGTGTGGTGTGTGTGTGGTGTGTGTGTGGTGTGTGTG